GGGGGGGGGGGGGGATTGAAGCCAGTGCATTTTAGTTTTTTTGAGTTATGAGCAGAAATACTCAACACTGAACGTTCGCCTATATATCAAATTGAAGCCATTGAAAAACGCTATTTGGTGTAGAAATTTCAAGACTTTAGCGAAAAGGGAAATATTGAAAAACTACAAAAATAATTGCTGATAATTTGCCATTTTGCAGTTGTTTTTTTTTTAAATATTTTTTTTTCGCTTAAGTCTTGAAATTTCCACACCGAATAGCAAATTTCAATAGCTTCAATTTGATATATAGCCCAACGTTTGGGATAAAGTATTTCTGCTCATAACTCAGAAAACCTATTTTGGCTTCATCAAATCATTGGCCTTCATCATAGCAGTTTATTTATAGTTCAATGACCTAAACTAGTGCCCTGTTTTTCTATTAGTGCTTCATCATCACGAGGCCTAGTCATTCGAATGTTTGATGTGTAAATTTGTATATGTATTACTCCGAACGCATGTACAATAATAGTCTTAGTCTCCAAAGTTAATTATTAAGCCCGAAGGTGCATGCCTAATAGCCTGCAAACAGACTTGCTATTTACGAGTATCTATTTCAATGTAACTATAAATGTCAACATCTCACACCACTCCCCCTTTAAAAGTATTATGTGTATCTTTTTGGAGGTCTTCGAATTCTTTCTGGATATCTTCTCTCTGGTTGCATTTCCTCTTCTCTGCTGTCAGATTCACTGTCCTCACTGGTACCCAGTACTGAGTGTCCGACCCCATTCTTTTTTTGGGGTTCCTTGACTTCGGTTTCTTGACAGGTCGAATCTGATAAGGTTTAAGGTAATTGTAATGGACAATTTCTTCTTTAGTTCCATTATTCCTTCTCACTACATAAGATGTTTTGGTTACGGACGTGGGCTTTACCACGACATAGGGTCCCGTCCACCGATCTGCAAATGTTTTTGCCCGTAAATTTCTTTTCCAAACTTGTTGACCCACCCCCAACGATTTAAAAGAAGTTTTTCTGTTGTACCGTTCTCTGCGTTTTCCCGCTAACTTGGCATCGGACTCTTGTGCTTTTTGGAATACCTCACTAACAGTCTCGCGCAGTCGTTCCGTTTTCTCTCTAACCGCTGCTGGTGATATCTTCTCTGTTATAATTTCGAATTTTGATCGCGGGTGCTCCTTGAAAACCAGTTCGTACGGCGAAACTCCTTTACTTGTATGAACTGCTGTGTTGTATGCTAGTTGTACGTCCGGTAGGTGTTGAGACCATCGGTTGGGATGTTTATCTACCAATTTTGTGAGTGCTTCCCCCATCGTACGATTAATCCGTTCTACACCCGCGTTTCCTTGTGGCCTATAGGGTGGACTGAAAGTGTGCTCAATGCTTTGGGTTATGTAAAACTGTTCAAATGTTTCGCTTATGAAGCAAGGTCCATTGTCAGAGTGCACTTTTTTGGTAAACCATACCTTGATATCCAACCCATGAGTGTCTTACCAACAACTTGGCTAGTTTGTCCTCGAATTGGATGCATCTCTGCATATTTTGTACATGGATCTGTTATCACAACAATATTGTCAAATCCCTCTTTTGTTCTCGGTAATGGACCCTTGAGATCCACTTCTATCAACGCAAATGGTTTCTCTTCTTTTGGTCGTTGATGAGTGGGTGCTTTTCTATGTCCCTGGGCAAGAGTAACAGCACAGCGTTGGCACGTTTTTGCATAGTTCTCTACTTCTGTTTTCATCTTTGGCCACCAATAATGAGGTTCAATTCTTGCAAGCATTGTATCTGCTACTTGGTGCCCTGTTTCGTCATGAGCTAATGATAATATGGTGGGAACAAGCGATGCTGGAAGTAACACTTGCTTCTTATGGTCTCGTGCACGACTGAAATATAATACCGGATGTAATTATCCTTGTGCATCTTCTTGTGATAGTTCACCACCCAGACCCACTTTACTTGCATCCGTGGTAACAACAAAGAGTCGAGTGGGGTCAGGATGGGCTAATATTGGAGCTTTAACCAACTCATGTCTGTATTAAATGCATTAAGTGTATTGAATGCATCATCTTGCTCCTTACCCCAAGTGAATGTGACATCTTTCTCCAAAAGCCATATTAATGGTCGAACAATTGTACTAAAATCCTTGATAAAGTTCCGATACCACCCAACTGCACCCAAAAACGTTTGCACCTCTTTAAGACAAGTTGGTGCAACCCATGGACGAATTGCCTTTACTTTATGTTCGTCTGGCTGCACACCCTTGTTGCAAACTTTGTGTCCAAGAAATTTCACTCTTTCATTGCGAAAGCACATTTCTTAGCTTTAATTCGTAATCCATGCAAATGTTTTTGGGTACTTGGCAGTTCCTGAATTTTTCCCGCAGTTTGTTCCCTATAAACTCTGATTGATTTATCAGTAGTATTCAGTACACATATGGGGATTCTATTTTCATCGTTCATCATTTCTGCCGAAATCTTTATCGGGGCTGTAAGAAACCCAGTTCTCTGCTGAAAATGTTCCGTACCTTCGTACCTTTCATTCTTATCTTCCAATTTACCCCAAATGAATATTTCTTCAAATGGCTTAATATCACGACTTTAGCATTTCCTGAGGGGTATCTACTTTCGGTTGTAACAAGGGTTGGGCCCCATCTATTGTTGCCAATTTTTTCTTGTGTTCAACGATACACCCAATTTTCCCAAAGAGTCCAGGCCCAGAATCCCGTTCTGAACACCACTTACCACAAAAAAACTCAATATACAACTATTTGTCCCTACCGTAACTGATGTTTGAACCACACCTCTGCATTCTGCGTGTGTCCCATTAGCCATCTCTACGTGACGTGTAGTTGGTTGAATTTTCATGTAATGTTTGCGATAGATGAACCAGGCGGAAATCGTAATCTTAAGATAAATATTAATGCCCAGCAGAAAATACGTAAAAGAGCCATAACAAAAATATAGTTTAAAATATTTATTAGAAAGCTAACGTTTCGTCCTTAACTTAAGACATCTTCAGAGCAATGACATACAAAGCGGAAAACACAGAAATATGAATAAATTACAACTATTTACAAGATATTATATTACAAAAGTAGAAAGAGGAATGGATCAGAGTAGAAGTAGAGGGACCGAGTTGTCTTGTCAGTTGAGAGAGGCTTTGAGTTTGTTAATGAGAAGACTTTCTCGAATGAGGAGTTCGTCTCGAGAAGGGCAACAAGAAATAATCTTAAAGTCATTAAGAGAGGCGGAGTGACCAGTGCTATCAAGATGGGAAAGGATACTAGACATGGTCGGATTGCTGCTTTTACTGCCTGTTGGAGGAGAAACACCCAAATGTGCAGATACTCGTGTGTGCAAGTGACGGACCGTTTGGCCCAAATACGTTGCGGAACAGCAACGACACGTGAAAGAATAGACAACACAAGATCTTAAAAGCCTTAGGAATTTTGCCCTTGAAGGTGAAGAGTGGAGCCAAACGTAAAGTTGGACGAAAAACGAATCTAATATTAAGGTGAGGAAAAGCTGAGGAACAAAGACGGGAGATTTGGGTGCGAATTTGAAGAGAGTGGGCGCCAGTATATGGAAGGGAGAAATATAGGACTTTCTTAGGAGCAGAATGAACAGCTGGTTTGGGTTGAGACACATTTTCTCATTTTCGTACGCAGCGATCAAAAAGACGGGTTGGTAACAATTCTTATTAAGAATCTGGCGGTATAGTTCTAAGAACTGAGCGTGAAGGTTCTTATAATTGGAGCAAAGACTAAAGAAACGATGTATAAGAGAAGAAACTAAGCTACATTTATATTGAAAAGGAATAAAGCTACGGAAGTTGGTAAACAGACCTGTGAAGGTAGGCTTTCGATAAACAGAAGTTTCGAAAACACCATTCTTACGAGAAATGCTGATATCAAGAAAGGGAAGTGTGGAACTAGATTCAACTTCACTGGTGAATTTAATATTAGGGTGTTGGCGATTTAGATAAGAGAGAAATTGAGGTATATGATCAGCAGACTGGAAAACCAAGAAGCAGTCATCAACATAGCGGCGGTACAATAATGGCTTAAAGTTGACAGGACAGTTATTTAACCAGTTAGACTCGTGAAAAGACATGAATATATTGGCGAATAAAGGACCTAAGGGTGACCCCATAGCAACGCCGTCAATCTGTTGAAACAAAACCCCATTAAACAAAAAAGAGCAGTTTTTCACAGCAAGACCAAGAAGTTTCTTAAATTCTAATTGAGTCAGACCATGAAAGCGAACAGCATTAGAGAATAAGTGGTTTGAAATTATGTCAATGGTTTCATCTAGAGGAAGGTTGGTAAATACTGGAGTCACATCAAAGCTTGCCATGACAACGTTGTTGGAATCGAGATTGAGGCTGAGAAATTCCTGGACAAACGAGCGAGTCCCATGATATACGTGGCATATTGAAATCTCCTGCAAGCACAATGTTTGAGTGTTGTGAACAAACATCACTCATAAAGTTATTGAACTTGTCCAACCAGCTATGATCTGAGTTTGGTGGACGATAACAAGAACAAATTAATAAACTTGCGGTTGAAGTGGTTGTTATTTCAGACATGGAGATCTCCAAATCATGACCATGTTGAATTTCCCGCACTGATTTAAATGATGAAATCTTTATCGCTAACAGTACTCCACCATCACGAGATCCGCGATCGTTCCTGAATATGTCATATCCCGAATGCAAAATTTCAGAGTTTTTAATATCCTCATTAAGCCACGTTTCGTTGACACAAACAATATCGGGTATCATTGGTTTAGATCCAATTAATAAAAAATCAGTTTTCGCCACATTTAAACTTAGTTTATTGGCAATTAACCATTTCCTAAGGTTTTCTAAATCAGAATTTATTGCAGCTTCAACATCATTTATAGATTCTCCTGCAGCTGTTAGGTTTGTATTATCAGCAAACAGTCGAGGTTTTGTTTTGCTTAGACACTGAGGCAAGTCATTAATATATAATAAAAGAATAATGGCCCTAAAATAGAGCTTGTGGCACGCCACACTTAATCAACCGCTCCGATGAAATAGTTCCATTAACTTGGCATTTCTGAGTGCGATTTATCAAGTACGATTTTAGTAGAGCCAAAGCATCTCCTTTTACGCCATTTTAGTAAAATCTGGTGGTCGACAGTATCAAATGCCTTTTTAAGTCAATTAGTACAACCACGTTAAATAATTTTTTTCTTTTTTTTTGTTTAATGAAAACCGAGACGAAGTCAAGGTTTTCATTAACAATAATCGCCGAGCCTGAGGCGAACAATTGTTTCAGTATAATTTCATAGGTGATTACGCAGTTTAAAAAACACATTTCTTCGTCATTTAATTGTCAAAACGGCTTCGGCCGACGGCCGCTACTTCGAACTTCGAAAATCGCTTAGGTGATTATCGCTTTATAATCACCTCAACGGCAACGAATCAGCGTGGAGAATTTTCAATAATCACCTATGTAGTTATACTTAGTTTACTACTGCCGTGTACGACTCGTATTCTGGCGTATCCAATCGAGTAGGCACGCGTCAATTCGCGGTGCATTTAAAATTTCGCCTCAATTCAGATTTTTGGAATTGTGGCATCAAATGAATTTCATACACCAGAACCCGAATCGCACAGGGCAAATCGCAATGTGCAAACGCCCCTTTAGTAACAGCAAGTTAATGGCCGGATGAGACTTCTGCTTGTGTTACATTTGACACAGACAGTCTTCCAAGTTCGTGAATCGTCAACGTTGTAGCAGGATCGTAATGCAGACAAGTAGTATGCTAATATTTCTTTCTTAAATTGAATAAAAGAAAGATTAATAAGCCTTAAAAGCTCCGGGAGAGAGTTCCATGTTCTAGTTGTTCGAAGAAAGAATGATCGATTATAAGTTTTTGTTCTATGTTTTCGTTGACGGAATGAGATTGCGTTGACATTAGCAGATGATCTTGTGACTCTTACGGGAGCAATACGTTCAGGTAAGGAATTTTGAGATATCGATACAATGCCAGTAATAGCTTTGAAGAAAAACATTAAATCTAAATATTCATGCAAATATGAGAGGGGAAGAAGTTCTGTAGAGATGAGTCTGTCTTTATAGGATACGTCACACATGAATGGGAGGCCTAGAATAAACTTTGAAGTTCGGCGTTGAACACGTTCAACTCGGTTGATGAGCTCTGGCGTAGCCCAGCGCTGGTCGTACAACTGCCAAATACAATGCACGGCGAATCCTTTTATCCGTGATTTCCGTTGCAGATCTACGTACGAATCCGAGCATTCTATTGGCTGAGGCACATCGATCGAGGGTGTGTTTGGACCATGTCAGATTACTAGTAACCCAAACGCCAAGATCCTTCTCCTCTGTTGATACTGCGAGGGTTTTGTTTTTGATGGTGTAGGGGAATTCGGTGGTAGTCTTTTTCCTGGTAATTCTCTGACACTTGCATTTATTTTGATTAAATACAAGTCCAGAAGAAGTCGACCACTCCTCAAGATTATCAAGATCACTTTGAATCGAGGCACCGTCTATGTGAGAATCAACACACTTGAATAATTTTGTGTCGTCAGCAAAAGAAGCTACTTTTGCATTATTCACTACATTAGGTAGACGTTAACATAAAGGAGAAAGAGTATTGGACCCAGGATAGAACCTCGAGGGACTCCAGACAATACAGGTTTTTCAGATGATGTAGCTCCTAGAACAGTCACACGTTGCTTTCTGTTCAACAAGTAGGAGGAGAACCAACCAAGTAACCTACCAGAGATGCCAAAGCAGTTGTAAAGTTTATGAATAAGAATTTGGTGGTTAACTTTATCAAAGGCTTTGGACATATCCATGTAGATCACGTCAGTTTGTTTCCCAGCGTCCAGTAAAGATCCTATATGGTCGTGCACTTCTTTTGCAGAATCTTCACTTTGATTCAGGGGACTGTATTCTATCAATTTATTTCATTGGAAAGATTTTCTATTTACAACGCGATTTTAGACTTCCTCGTCTCGCTACGATCGGATCACAACTGAATTTACATATTAGCCTTAATCAATAATAGTATTAAATTACAAAGAATCACTGTGACGTATTTTAAGCAATACTATATACATATATTTACATTAAGTAGCAGAAGCAATTGCTGTACGGAAAACTGGCGGCACTGCGCTGGGAACTTACAACAACTTCCACCAGCTGGGAAGTACAAGATTTTCCTGGAATAAAACTATGTTGGGAGTTGTTGATGAAGACTACCAAGTGATCTCGGATGCTACGAAGAACACAGCGCTCGAGAACATTGGAAATTATAGAGAGGAGAGAAATGGGGCGGTAGTTTTCAACTTGATCTTTTTCTGCTTTCTTGTGCACATATTGTCTTGACCGAAAGTTTAAAGTCAGTATAACCATAGCTAGGAAGTATAACCATAACCATGGTTAGGAAGGCCGGCAAACTTCAAAGGCTTCCCGCTGCGATGTTGACGGAAACATCACGTGACCATCGAAGGTGCATGGATGCGAGAATAAAACAAAGGAGTGAAATTTGCGAGGCGCGTTTAATATTCTTATATTTTCGGAAATTATGGATGAAATATGTTCCAGTGACGATGAAATTTTTAGTATTGAGGACAAGGAAGTGCAATATGATAACGAGGAAGCGATTGATCCATTTATAAGGACAATGGAGCTTATTGAAGAGAATGCTGATGAGTTTGATGTCGAGCTGTCTGAAGCGTTAGCCGAGGTAAAAGTCGTTATAATATATGTTTCCGAGCGTTATATGGGATTTTTGGCTCAATATTTAAAATCTTTGACATTTTTTATACAGGTAGAAGGGACCAAAAGTTTCCAGTGCGATAAATGCACCAAAGTTTGCAAGTCAAAAGGTGGATTGACTAGACACCGCAGAAGTAAACATCCGAACGGTGACGAAGCAACATCAACCAAGGCGACAAGCAAGGTTTACATCCCAACAGTGGACTTAGCTCTTTTGGAAACGTTCTTCAAAGAAATTGTTGACAAATTGCGCGAGGAGAAATTTTAAGGGGAAACGATTTTAACCGCCACATCGAGTGTAAAACCAAGTATGGAATTTCTTGCTTTCGTCAGAAAAATCTACAGCGATTTTTGTCGAAAACGCAACCAAGATGCATTATTAGCCACTTTCTACAAGGAGATATACAGTAAATGGAAGATTTTCTTCCCTTCATGCAAAGATCAGAAGGCTATCAGTTTGGTATTAATCCACTTTCCTCAGAAATTAGTTGGTCATTACAAGCATGCTACCAGCAATGCTACAGGAGAAGAGGTGATTATTTTGAATAGTCTAGGTTTAAAACTTAAAATAGTATTGTATATATGCAGGACTTGAATGATTTGGTTTCTTGCACTTCACTTGGTGGAATTAATATTAGAATGTTAGGGTTTGTAATCCAAGTGATTATACACATTTTAAGACCTGACCAGAAACGACTGCGAAAAATGCAGCATAAGGTCCTCTGGTAGGAATTGAACCTACGGCCCTGCGATTCCAGTGCAGCGCTCTAACCAACTGAGCTACAAAGACCAGCTGTTGAGCTGTAACCGTAAGTTCATGTATAAATACGTAATCGGGTGTGCGGGTTGTGATAAGGTGGACTTGAATGATTTGGTTTCTTGCACTTCACTTGGTGGAATAATATTATCAGTTGGTAATTACCAAATACACCCTTCTATAATACTGTCAGTTGGTAATTACCAAATACACCCTTCCGGAAAGTATGTCACTTTGGCTATAGAGCCTTGTTTTTGTGTATGTCACATTAGTAAAAGCCTAACGTCTCAATCTTGAAAGTGAGGCTCTATAGCCTCTATAGCCAAGGTGACATACTTTCCGGAAGCTTGTATTACCCTTCACCTTTGAACAATTTTGATCAAATGACACACAAGCCATGTTTACAGTTCATGCCTTGGCATTGTTTTGTTTGTTATAATAGGATAATAATACACATAATTTCTCTATATTTACATACATTTTTAAAACAGCTGGATAACCAATACAAGTCAATGCCTTTAATTATACAATGACATTAAAAGAATGAAAGCGCAAGGAAGTCTCGAACAATTCATTGTCAGAACAATTCATTCAATATTGAGCATAATACAGTCACATCCTCAATCCCATGGTCTTTCCTTTTGTATGATTGTTGTAAAATAATCCAAGATACTGTAGTTAATTAGAAATCTGCTAGTTTGGGGGATTATTAGCAGATCACGTGACCAGCATCTTTTCTTCTCTCTCCAAGAGGTAAGACCCTGGGTACGAGGTTGGATGAAGTCACACAAATGATCAAAATCCTACAACTTTTACTGTACATGCACAGTAGACAAGTAATTGGCTTGTCTAGTTTTCTGGAAGTCGGTTCTCTATAAGGATTTCCATTCAGTGCAAAATGCCAATGTCATATCATCGGTTGCAAAAAAATGCACAATTTTGACAGTTGATAATTCAGTAAAAACCAATCACAAAACATTGATCATGCAACATTTTGCACTGAGTGCAAATCGGTGAGAAACACTCATAACAAGAATAAACTAACAGAACAAGATATACAATAAATAGAACATCAAAGAATCTTCGTGCTATGGGTATTCTTTCTGGGCTTTGATTTTCATTGATATTATATCACAGTACAGCACCATATAATATTATGATCATTAAAATATATTATAGTTTGATGATAATAATATTTTGTGTACATTAGAGTACAAATAAATACCTGAATGCACTACCTCAATCACTACCAAGGGTGTGCAATTATGGTTTATTTGCCTTTGTTTTCTTTCGCTTTGGAAGGGGTTCCTCAGAAATTGCATACCACTTTGAGCTTTTCCCTTCATGTCGACCAGACACATTTCCTCTGACAACAGGAGCTATACCACGTTGTGCTGCAATCGTGAGGTCATTGTAGACAAATGATTGCAGTGTTGGATTATCACTAAACCGGCCTCTTGCTCTCTGGTGTCCAAAATACTCTTCCAAAGGGTCCTGGCAAAATTTTTCAGAAAGTACAAATTCACAACCTTCTGAAAGCAGAAACCTTACAACCTCAGTTAGTGAATTTACAGTTATCTTCATCCCTCTTTATGTTTGATGCGAGATAAACATCTTTCCTCTGTCATCACTTGTAAATGCACCCTGTCGTTCTTGGACTCTCTTGTACCTGTCCTCGAGGTATGCAATGAATACATTTTGTAGCCAATCAAAACGACTGTCATCGAGACTAGTGTATTCAGCTAGAAACTCATTACGCTTTCTTATGTGCTCAGTAATTGACCGGGTATTGAGACAGTCAAAAACTTATTGACCATCTCACAAAACTTTGCGGTTTCCCCAGCGTCTCCTTGAGGGTAGTGCCGATGAAGTGCCATAGCAACTGTGTTGCTCATCACTTGCGCAGCCAGACGAACGTTCATTTTGGAAAATGAAGTAAGAATTATGTGGTCAACTGTTAGTTTGGGTAGCTAATGCAGGTCTTGTTCTAAATCAGCATGGTAAAGTGCAGCTATATGATGCCATATCATATTCTTGCCATTCCACATTAAACTTGTACGTTTCCCTGTACCCGAATTGAAAAGGCAGTTCCTTGCTGCCTTGAGTAAGTGGGGAGCATAAGAGAAGAAGTAGATGAATCGTGTTAGAGCAAAGAGATTGACTATTCGATATACAAAATCAACCTTGTACTCTTCCCCAACAAGCCCAGCATGTAGCTCATAGAACTTCCTATTCGGCAAAGCACCATCACTGACAGCAGCACATACCCATAAATTGCACCCTAACTCAAGAATGGAAACAGCTTTCCAAAACAATGGCATTAATTGGTAAGCTGTAACATTCTCAGTGCTGAAATATCCAAGGATATATTTCAGGTCACTTGCTACTCCCCTGACCATGAATGCCAAAACATGACTTGCAAGGGTAGTAGGTGAGTCAAGAGCTGCCACATTAACATCATAAATTTGACTGAATTTTCATCTCGTCAAATGAGAATACAACATACCTCTGCACATCAAACAGTTGATTGGTCCGCTCTCGTAATTGGGTAACATTTGCTTCATTGAAACCAGGTTTTGGTTTGAAGAAGTTCCTGTAATCCCTTAAAACCCGTTCACTAGGCAACACTAAAACACCAGATGATACCAGTTCTCGGTATGCTGATGGTGACTTGGAGTGTAAGGAGAGGCAAAATCTGATAAGGTGGGGATGATATCTTCGACCGAACTTGGGGGATGCCAGAAGTTTTTCTGCTGTTGCCAGAACAAGTTCATATGGGGCGAAGTTTTAAGATCACTCTTATCCAAAACACTCAAGATGTCGTCTTCAAGAGTTTTATTGATCTCAATACTGTTCGAATGAATCTCCCTTTGCATGTTCACAAGCTGGCTCTCGAGATCTTTACACCTTACACGTTGTTGCTGGATGGTGGCAATCAACCTTTCTTTGCTGCAGCTGGCCAAAGGAGCTTTATCTTTAACAGCCGTTGCTTTCAGTGCAGATTTCAAAGGCACCTTTTTTTGTTTAGCTTCGAAAAGGCTCAAACAACTATGACAGGAATCTTGGTCTGCTAAATTGAACAATACTGCGCAATTCTCTGGACCATCATCACAATACAACTCTGGAGCAATGGGTACAGAGTGTTTAAAAAGTGAAACAAGAATGCTATTAATGTTAATTATTAAGTTAATTATTTCTACTTTTTTTAATAGGATCAACTGCATGTAAAGTTTCAGGCAAACCAGGACAAACAGAAAATGATTGGACTACTTTACACAATGATGGCGCAGATATATCAAACAAAGAACGTTTATGTTCATAATAAATCTCATGGGTGTCAGGCAAAAACCAACCAAAGACAGCTATAGAAAACCCAAGACCAGAATCCACTCTTATCGAATATAATGGTAGTGCATGTTCAGAATCAAAGTAATCCAGCGTAAAATCATGTTCGGTTTCCTTTCTAGACCACCCAGATAGTTTTACACGAGAAATTACACTTTTAAAATCGTCTAGATGTTTATATACCTTCGATTTTATGCCACTAGTGGAAGGCTCAATAGGCGTTTCATGCCTTTCACTTTTTCTCCTTGATTGTGTCTCCGAGTCAAACGATTTTTTTTTGAAAATTTAAAGTTGGTATTGCCCCAGGAGTCAATCTTTTACGCGTAGAATCTGCAACATAAACAACGAACCATTCAAGGATTCATACATCATACATTTCATATATTATACAACACAATATATTTGGTCACGCATCGATTAATATGACAAATAAAAAGGATTTTACGTATGCAAATGAAGAAAACGTTAATATATTCATAATGTTCGTGAGACTTACGTTTTTCAATAAATCTTTCCTCGAAATGTTTTTCGCAGATGTGCAGTGTACGCACCTCAATTTGCCGTCTTTAATAAATCCTGGTCTATAACATCATTTCCTGTTATTTGTCTTAACCACTCTTCACGAGTTTTCCGAGATAACTCGTCAAAATGCCCCCCTCCCAATTATTTTTTGCCCCCCCCCCTCAAAAAATTATTAGTCACTAAGAGCGACTAAAGGCTACACAAGCGTTTTGTCGTTATCGGAAAATGTATGGCTTATAAGTTGTCATTACTCATTAGTGAATGCGCGTATACATGAAACTGTTTTTTACATTTTCAATATTAGTTTGTAAATCTCTGAATGGTAAAACTTGCCAATACTCCATTAATACGTTTCAAAAAAAAGACAAAAAAGCTGTAGTTTTGCAGAGTTAAATTCTCAAACGTGTAAGGCACTAATAAGATGAAAGTATCACGAAATTATTTTAATAAACCACATCGCATATATGGGGGGTGAATATTCTAAAGAGAGGCGATATTCCTAGGGTATTCGCCCCACCCCCTGGGAGGCGATATTCCTAGGATATTCGCCCCCTGGGGCGATATTCCTAGGAATATCGCCACGTTTTGAGGGGGGGGGGGCGAATCTCCTGGGGGACGACCTTTTTTAAAATTCTATCTTGCCCCCCCCAATTTGAGTTTGCCCCTCAAATGCCCCCCCCCCCCAAATTTGGAGGTCTGGCGCCACCACTGTTTTTCGACTAGTATTGCAGCCAAAAATGCTGCAGTTAGCGCCCGGCATAAGCAACAGCGGCGATACGAAGCAAGAATATTTTGAAATTCGATATGGCTCCATATTGTTTCTATTCATCAATGGGCCATTGATGCACCTTCGTTGAGACGTCACAGCCATAAATCAGAACAATAACATAATTCGTCACGTGACTCAGCTTTCCTAACCATGTCTGTGTTTCTATTAACTATGGTATAACTTCATCTTGATACAAGGAAAGAGCTTCAGCTGTTTCCTTATAGTAAACGTTTTTCTTTTTCCGTATTTACTCCTATTGTTTTGGCAGACATTTTCCCCGCCATTCCCATATACTCGCGCATGCGCTTTACGTTTGACCGTGGTTTTCTCACATGCTTGAATAAAGATGGACTAGCAAAAGCCGCATAAATCATTGATGCTTTTTATTCAAATATGTGCATGCGTCATTCAAGGCAGTGTCACTTGTTAAGCGATGTGATCATAGTGATGTGATTTGATTATGGTCGCGACAATTTGCAATTTGACATTATTGTTTTCAGAGGACACGGAATGACTAAAGGTCAAATTATTGTAATTATTGCGAACTATATTATATAATGTTGAGATGAAGGGTTTTGTAGATGGAAAATTCGAGTGGATTTTTTATAGATTCATTAGACTTAACCAGCAGTTGCGAACTATAAGGTCCCTGCATGGGAGGAATAAAAACCTGCGGCTCTGCGATTGTACAAAATCCTAATATTTACCCACATACCTGATATTTTCCCATATTTACCAGCTGTCGAGCTTTAACCGCAAGTTCATGTATATATACATGTAGGTGATACCAATGTAAGGTATACAGGGCCGCCGAGAGCTTAGCGGGGGCCCGGGGAAAATTTTTTTTGGGGGGGCCCTATTTTCGGACAACAACAACCCCCGGACGAGTACGTTGTACTTGCTTTCCAGCTACCAAATTTCGGTACCTTGCCCAAAAAAACAAATATCTTGCCCTTTGCGCGGAAATATTTCACCCGGAAAAATGACTGGGGCCAACAAAAAATTTCTAGGGACCCGGTGAAATTTACCCCCCATGCCCCCCCTCTCGGCGGCCCTGAAGGTGTATATGGTAAATTTCCATCTACAAAACGCATATACATTTAGTTTTCTTATATAGCTAGGGTGAACACCAAACGTGATTGGCCACGTGACTTCAGATAAATGCAATGTGTTCCACCGGGCAACAAGTAAAAAATTGTTGCCCGCCCCGACCGCGCTACGTACATAAATAAACAAAATGGCGGTACAACTCGCATAATTAGAAACTACGATTTTCCAAGTTTGTGTTCAAATAAAGAATGTAAAAGAGAAAAAAATACACAACAGGCAACAGGATATGCTTCTGAAACCGTTTAAGTAGGTTGTTTTAATTTTAAACTCGTTTACACTATAGAGTTTTTGTAACGAAATACAATTGTTGTATGAATGTTATTGAATGTTGATTTTTGTTCGTCGCTATATAACAATAATAATAATAATACTTTAATATGGAAATAGTTAGTTTTGTTTTCCCTCGAATCTCAATGTTTCCCTCGATTTCGTCTCGGGAAACATTAAGACTCTCGGAAAAACAAAACAAACTATTTCCCTCGGGAGCAAACAATAAGTGTATAATATAGAGTGAGGTGCCAAAAATCCTGATATTTATACATGCACCTTACATTCGCATCACCTGAATGTATTTATACATGAACTTGTTGATTAGAGCGCTGCACTGGAATCGCAGGGTTCGATTCCTGCCTTGAATTTTCGCCATTGGTTAGGTGTAACTAAATGTATCAAATGTATATACAATCTACCGAGCCCTTCATAATCATGTTTGTCATGATGTTTAATCGCAAGACATATTATTGAATTAACCATTGCAACACCCGAAACGTTTTCTTGTAGTTGGGAATTTCGAGTAGAATTGTACAGATCTTCAAATCCCACCAAAATCCTGATATATTATATAATGTCCATACTGAGCCATATTGCCACTCATTTTGCACAAATGTGAAAAACTTGAAACAATTTGTGAACTTTCTCAAGTTTAATGCCGAGTAAATCACATCGCTCAGCCGGTGACACTGCATTCAGTTATGAGATTATATTCAAACCATAACTATACCAGGTTTGCTATTACTTTTTGCCTTCAATCATTATAATATGATAACCAAACTTTGTTTTAATTGGTGGATCAGTGTACAGAGGTTTTGCAGTCGTGCTTGGTTCCAAACCAAAAGCAGCATCTTGAAATGGACCAACCTAAAAATTAACAAAATGGCAATTCTAATAGACACTTTTAGATGGATAGATCGTTTAATTAAAAATATACATCTTGCAGTCAAAGTCTGCATTACATGTATGTGTACATCTACATTATATGAAATTTTTATGGTAAACATTTAGTCCCCGAGCCAACTGCGCGGAGCCCCGTTTCAGGCGTAAGCCCGGTGCGAGAGTACTAATTTCGCCCGGCTATTTACCCCCGGGGAAAGGAAAGCATTAGCGAAGTCTAAAGTTCATCAATGATCGCGGGAGTGCGTTACCGTGCGTGGTTAGTCATCCTCACTGATCTCATCATAATATAGCGGACTGTCATGAATAGCGAACACTGATTGGTCCAATTTAAAATTTGCATAAAAACGACTGCATGACGACAGTGAAATAGCAAACATTTCTTGATTAGATGATTTCTTATCAATAAACTTTTCGATAAAGATTTAGACAAATTTGATAGCGATAATAAATTTATTAAAGAACGACGTTTCGAAGTCATCTTGACCTCATTTTCAAGTTCACATTATTACAGAAAACGATTAAATTAATATAAATAGCTTTTACAAATAATTGCGCAAGCAAACTAATTCGTCATACATGACAGTTGCAATTTTAAGCACTCCAAGACACTTAATTAACATAATTGGAATAATTAAACATGCAAATTGAATATCAAAAATTAAACAAACAATAAAACACTAGACGAACAATTATGCTAATAAAGAATGTTAAGTAAATAGTTTTGAGCGTATCGAGTCCGATTGTTTGTTTTAAACTAGGTTTAAGATCTTTAATAAATAACATTTCATGGAGTAAACACTCGAACTTTCCCCGACATTTTCTCAACCCCTTTGTTGTTCTTCTCGATGTTCTTTGCGTCCTCGCCGTGCTGTTCAACCATATGTTCTCCGACAACCGATGACTTGTGTTCATCAATTTACAATTTCCACTGAAAATGGTAAGATACAGTCGCAAAACCTTTGAAATTGTAAAGACACTTCTCATCTGGCTTCTTACTTCAATCCTCGTTATTTGGTTATTTACAAGATCTAAACCGCAGCTTACGGTTTTGGACGATGAAACCACTCTTAAAGGAGTCATTATATCTTCAGAACTAACAAAGTTACCTGACAAATTGTGTTTTATTTGGATGTCAACGCGAGACATATTTTTACGAAAATCCAGCTATCCTTGCAAACATCGATATGGTTTGGAATTCAGTATAAAACATAAAAGTCTGCATTTAGTCTTGTGTATCCTCCTTGCTGGTGACATCGCTACCAATCCAGGTCCGACTTTACCGAATGCGCAGTTTGGCAACCTATCTCCGTCACACCTACAAGTTCCTGTGGACAAGCGCCCTAAAAACGAGAATACAAAACCTGATTTAATATTCCATCTTAATTAATATTCCTGGTTATAATCTGCTATTGAAGAACCGTACTTCTGGTGTGCATGGTGGTGTCGGACTTTACATCAAGAACTCTATCAAGTTTAACGCTCTCTCTGACATCTACCACCCCCAACTTGAAGTGCTTTGGATATACATTAAACCCACGCGACTCCCCAGAGGTATACCTTGTGTAATTGTTGGAACTGTGTACCATACACACTACCCTGTAGGTGCTAGTGATAACGCAATGTTGGACTACCTGGCATGATCACTAACTGTTATCGAAGGTCGTTCCCTGGGTGTGGTATATTAATAACAGGTGACTTTAATCGCTTAAATGTGAGTTGTCTCCTCAAGCAATTCAAGCTAAAACAGCTCGTTCGCGGTCCAACTAGAGGCGAAAGGACTCTCGATCTCATCATTACAAACATGCCTCAATTGTATGACAAGAACGTGTTGCAGAGCTTTCCGCCTTTTGGGTTATCTGACCATTCCGTGTTACTGTTGCAGCCTAAACCGAGAACTGCACAAAGCTGTAACCGTCGTTCTGTGACTCGAAGGGATACTCGTCCGAGCCGCCGACATGAACTTGGAAGGTATCTGAGCTCGATTGACTGGTCGTTTCTTGATTCCGTCACTGGTTGTGAAAGCAAACTACAACCAACTTCTTCCTTGATCTGGTTAAGACTGGCTTAGATACCATCATGCCACTCAAGCCGGTAAAACTACATGTAAACGATGCTCCCTGGATTACCCCAGAATTTAAAAATCTTATTAAACTACGCCAGAAAGCCTACGCACAAGGTGATCAAGATCGTTTCCGACAGCTCCGAAATGTGGTAAACCGTGAAAGAAAAGTGCTTCGTAGTAGATATTAAACATCTAGAGTTGCAAACCTCAAAAATACCAAACCGAGCCAGTGGTGGAACGAGGTTAAAAAGATTTCAGGAATGGTCCCTGCTGCACCGACCGGTGATATTCGCTCACAACTTCACATTAGTGGCATCGATGGAATGTCGAATAAGGATATTACTGACCTGATCAACACTGCACTTCTCGAACCTATGCAAACATACCAACCACTCGATTGTCTTCCTCCCATAGATGAAACTTCTGAGGTACTAAAGCTTGATGCTTATTCAGTCTATTCAACATTACTAATGTTGAACCCTCGCAAAGCATCGGGGCCAGACAAGGTGCCAAACTGGCTGCTGAAAGACTATGCCGACATCCTTGCAAACCCCGTTTGTGATATCCTGAACAGCTCCTTCGACGAACAAGCGCTTCCGGCATCCTGGAAATACGCAAATGTCACACCACTGCCAAAAACGAAACCAGTTACCATAATCGCCAAGCATATTAGACCCATTTCACTAACTCCGACTTTATCTAAGTTAGCTGAGGACTTTATCGTAAGAAATTATGTTGGTCCTGCCATTCTTGAGATCATCGATCCTAATCAATTTGGTGCCGTACCGAAATCATCTACTACACAGGCTCTTATTTCCATGATCCACACGTGGGCTTCTGCCACTGATGGAACAGGTGCATTACTAGATTACAGAAAAGCTTTTGATCTGATCGACCATCGCATTCCAGTTGACAAGATCCTTTCTCTTCGAATGCCGCGTGGTGTAGCTCGCTGGGTGTGTGACTCCTTGTTGAACAGGTTCCAACGTGTCAAATTGTCCAACGATTGTTTCTCGGAATGGGGTGCAGTTTCATCTGGTGTTCCACAAGGTACGAAACTGGGCCCCTCGCTGTTCCTATTAATGATAAATGACCTCAACCCACCTGATGCGCACTCTTGGAAACATGTGGATGACACCACCTTGGCTGAGGTTGTCCCACGGAATGATCAAACCAATATTCAGAACGCCGTAACTGAAGTTGAAAAATGGTCTAACATCAACAACCTTCAGCTGAATGCTTACAAGTGCAAGGAAATGGTCATTGATTTCAAGAAAGTGAAGCTGATGTTCGATACCATCACCGTGAACTGCAAAGAACTCGAGCTAGTGAGCAGTGCCAAAGTATTAGGTGTTACAATATCCAACTCCCTACAATGGGTCGACCATACAAATAATGTTATAAAGAAGGCAAATAAACGCTTGTAATTTCCTGGTTTTGCTCAAGCGCGCTGACGTCCCTGCTCGTGATATCATCAGCTTCTACAACACTTGCATCAGACCCGTACTTGAGTATTGTGCTCCCGTGTTTCATCATGCTCTCCCAGGATATTTGTGTGACGATCTTGAACGCATTCAAAAGCGTGCGCTATCGATTATATCTCCGGGACTATCCTATACGGACAATCTTACTGTACACGATATCAGTACTTTGAAAGACAGGCGCCAGAATCTTTGTAAGAAACTTTTCCAAACAGTTGTGTCTGATGCAGATCACAAGCTGTACCATCTTCTGCCGCCCTCAAAGACATCAGCATATAACCTAAGAAGACTGCGTCGTTTTGACTGTCCTGCTACACGAACAAATCGTTTTAGTAATTCTTATATTCTGTCAATGTCAAAAGAGTAGTTTATAAACGATACCATGCAGTGGGGTTCAGATTTGACTTCCCCTACCACTTTCGCTGCCTCACGCTGACTTGCTATGCATGTGATTAGTTAATTTAGTAGTCTTAATGGTTCTGATTAGTTCCTAGTCCTTTTCGGTAGCGGTGGTGGTGGAGGTCGGATCTGAACTTCGCTATACAATCCTTTTCCAACGTTTTACATCTATCTATCTATCTATCTATCTATCTATCTATCTATCTATCTATCTATCTATCTATCTATCTATCTATCCAATGCGTTGATGAACAATTTGACTTATGTTTAATGTACGAACAGGCAAAAGAACTGTTTTGTGCCGATTAAATTTTGCTTATTAAATACAAGATCGATAAATAAGAATAAACTTATCCTTAAAGATTTCACGGTTGAAAACGATATTGAGTAATTTTTGCAGTAACTGAGACATGGTTGCGTCACGATAATACTTTTTCTGTTGCTCAAGTCTGTCCTAAAGGATACTATTTTCATCATATCCCAAGAAAAAACTCACAAGGTGGAGGGGTTGGTGTGCTACTAAAGAAGAGTATACGTATAAAAACACAATCTCAGAGGAAATTCTTCTCCTTCGAATATATAGACGTAACTATGGAATGTTCAAATAGTAGAACAAGAATGGTTATTATCTACAGACCACCATCCTCGAAGACCAATCAACTAACTAATTCTCAATTTTTTGACGAATTTTGCAACCTTATGGAGCAGCTAATAATTCTACCAGGCAATTTGTTAATAGCCGGTGACTTCAATTACCATGTGGACAACAGTACTAACCCGGATACCATAAAATTCAATAAAATATTGGAATCGTTCAATCTACAACAACACGTG